TTTTGTTTGATTTAATTAATGTGGGGGGCTGGTTGACCTCTGATGACCTCTAGAAATTTTTATTATTATCTTTAAAATGATAGTAGCACAAACGAAAATTTTTGCAGCACAAACCAGCACAAACGTAGCACAAACGTTTGATACCACTTTTGTTGGATTTGAAGAAGGTGGGGGGAAAACTTCACTCACATAGCAAAATCAAGAGAAATAAAAGTACAATTAGTTGTAGAGACACTTGAGCAATTTCAGAATATTTTATGTAAAACATTTATGTTTGTGTACTCCACTGTAGGAAAGACTCCACTGATTAAAAACTCAGAATCAGTTGGATTATTAGAGTTCCTGAAGACGGAGAGGTGGTGGTTCAGTAATGTGCACAGATCCAGTACTTAAGGAGGATGACGATCAGAAGGACAGGTTGATGAGGGGAGCATTGTTCTCAGTCTTGTCCTCAGGACTCCACTTGATAAGCGGAGAGCTCAAATCAATCAGCTGAAAACAAAACAAAATGCAGTTACAGAGCTGCTTTGGGTACAAGGTTACTGAAATCTGAAACACCAAAGGAACAAACTGCATCCCAGTGAAACACAAATCTCTTAAAATACTACATATTCAAAAAACCCTCATCTAAAATATTTTTGAGGGTCTTGAAAGGAAGATGTAGCCGTTACGTTTCTGTTTGACTTCATCTTGCAGAACATGTTGAATTCTGGCAAAGTTGTTTCTTGACATTGGGCTGCAAGTTGAGAAAGACAGCTGAGATTAGGGTCTGAATAAGCCTTCTAACCATCAACAAAAGAAGAAAAGAAATGCTGCTCTTTCACTGGATGTTTTCTCGCTCTCTGCAAACCAAACTGCAACATTGTTGTCAAAATTGTTTGAGCTTTGGAAACTACATCTGACTGAGTCTGTAGTCTTATACTCAAATATAATATACTGCTACAAAAAATTTTTTAAACTCACGTTAACTTTTTGGAGGAATGACATAAGCACAAGTCTTAAAAATAGTTTATATTACAATATTTACCAGGTTTGATTTCCATCTGCGATTGCATGAATGAGAGTTTTTACAGACAGCGTTGGTGCAGCGGAGCAGGAAAAGCTTGCTCTTTGGAAAGCTCCATCGTGAGCGTCTGCTCTTTGTTTTTGAACAGAAGTGATTTGGGCATTGCAAATTGCACCCAAAGCTTCAAGTGCAATTTCTCTGTCCATCTTGACGTTGTAGTCCTTTGCTCTGCTCACTTCTACCTGCAAGTGTTGCGATTCATGTAGAATTCGGCTTATAGGTTAAACTGCATCGTGACACCTCCTGAGACACGCTGCAGTTTACATCATTTCTTAGATAAATCAACTTTTGACTTTCCAATAGATGTGTTTTCGTTAGAACTTCCTGTTCTTTTTTCTTGTTGTGAAATTATTCATCACATCTTAGATTTTCACAACTACCCTGAATCTTGATACAGTCGCAGTTCTCCATAAACTACAATTACTGCCTTGCAATTGTTGCAAAAACTCTTCAGAAGCCTGCATTTCATCACTGCAAAGATGAGTGAGATTCATTTGTTTCTCATACACAAACACATTTTAGCCTTAATCAAACATTGTCTGATTTTTACATAAAACACCAGGTAACTCCAGTGACTTTTGATAGTGTATGAATATTGAAGCGACTTATTCCCTGCATTGCAGATATGAAAGGGAGGTATATAAACAGAACATAGGTCTCCAGGTCTCAGTCGAGTGACACCTTTGTCACTTCAAGGAATTCCTCCTCATTGATAATGAAACTGTCCTGTTTTTATATCTAAAACCATGTTCTGCCAGTCAGCTGACAAGTCCTTTTTCTGCAGTGCAACTCTGACTTTGAACACATAGTAAAGTTGATCTATATTATTATCTATGCATATTATATAAATATTTCTTCTTCAAGTGAACTTCAGGAAGCCAGGATCACTGGAGTGTTTACAACATCATTAACAAGATTTATTCAAACAATAAGCAGCAAAATCAAGAGAAATAAAAGTACAATTAGTTGTAGAGACACTTGAGCAATTTCAGAATATTTTATGTTTGTGTACTCCACTGTAGGAAAGACTCCACTGATTAAAAACTCAGAATCAGTTGGATTATTAGAGTTCCTGAAGACGGAGAGGTGGTGGTTCAGTAATGTGCACAGATCCAGTACTTAAGGAGGATGACGATCAGAAGGACAGGTTGATGAGGGGAGCATTGTTCTCAGTCTTGTCCTCAGGACTCCACTTGATAAGCGGAGAGCTCAAATCAATCAGCTGAAAACAACAAATGCACAGTTACAGAGCTGCTTTGGGTACAAGGTTACTGAAATCTGAAGCACCAAAGGAACAAACTGCATCCCAGTGAAACACAAATCTGTTGAAATACTACATATTCAAAAACTAAAAATCTAGTGGAGTTTGTCTTTCCTGGATATTGGACTGAAGGCATGGCTGCTTTGATCGATAAATGGTCTTAAAAGGCAGCTGTAACCATTACATTTCTTCACCTTCGCCAGCTGTAGTCACTCAACTGGGCGTCTCTTAATTTATCTTTGTGTTTTGGAGCATTATTGCTGAGACATCCAGTGGTGTAGTTAACAGTGGTTAACAGTGTCACTTGACAGGTGAAGTTAAGGGCAGGTGAAAGTAGCCATTACAGGAATTCTCTCAAAAATAATTGAGTCTACTATGTGGTACAGGTCATAAATGTGTTCTTCAGTTAAGGCGAGAAAATTTGGTGACAAACAAATGATTCTGTATTTCAGTTTACAGGTGTGTGGCATATCACTGATCACAGGTTATAAAATTAATAATAGTCGGTGGGAAAAGTGAGCATTCAAACAATAACTGAAAGCACCATTAACTATTCTCTTAAAATTCCAATTAAAATATCCCAATAATTCTTAATGGGTATATGAACAAATTTAAATAGACTGATAGATTCTAAAAAGGACTTGGGTGTTATCCCCAGATGAGGTGAAAGTTACCTGAGCTGCACTGCAAGTCTTATTATTGGTCCGGATGAAGTCAGGGGTGTTGGTCAAGTCAATGAGCAGCTTCTCTTGAGGAGGCAGGGTGGGTGGTGGAAGATCCAAAAGGAGAACCTGAGCAAAAAAAACTGAGTGTGAGATGATCATCTCTGAAGTTGCTCTGCAGCTCCAGCAGATCAGACTGAACAAGTGAAGATGCAAGAGTTTGACTCTGGACAACAAATGAACTTTGAGTGTGTGGCAACAATTCATTATAATTTTTGTTGTTTTCTAAACCATTATGAAGCAAGTTATACAGCTACAGAGCATCTGAATCATCTGGTCATCTGTCAGGCTCCAAATCATTTTAACCTCAAAGGAGTCGATAATAGAAGATAACCTGGTATTAAAGCAAAAAAGGAGACTTGTGTAGTTTAACCCTTTGATCTCATATGGTGATATAACCAGAGTACCAGTGCTTGTTCCTGTTATGCGCTGGAACCTGAACATGTGGAGGAAACTTTGGCTAAAGAAGAAGCGTGTTAAGGTCTTGGAGTGGCCTAGTCAGTCCCCAGGTCTTACTCCCACAGAAAATCTATGGAGGGAGCTGAAGGTTCCAGTTGCCAAACATCAGCCACGAAACATTAATGACTTTGAGAGGATCTGCAGAGAGGAGTGGGACAAAATCCCCCCTGAGATGTGTGCAAAACTTGTGGCCAACTACAAAACAGGTCTGACCCATGTGATTGACAACAAAGGTTCTGCCATCAAGTACTAAAGTGTGTTTTGCAAAAATCAAATACTTGTGTCCTTCATGAAAATGCTAATTATTTTTTTGGAAATGCACTTTTTGGATTTTTGTTGTTATTGTTCTTTCTCTCACTGTTCAAATAAACCTACCATTGAAATTATAGAAGGATCATTTCTTTGCTAGTGGGGAAAATCACAAAAACAGCTGGGGTTCAAATAATTTTTTTCCCTGGTTATAACTGTTGTATTATGATGGTGTATACTGTGTGACCTCTGACCTCCTGTTTCTTGCTGTTGCTGTCCTCTTTAAGCTCCAGTTCAATCAGGTTTTCATTGGGCACTGATTCATCCAGAATCAGTGCTCCAGGATCCATGGGCTCTGATTGGTTAGTCTGTTGGCTGTTTGAGGGTGTGGTGGTAGGGGGATCATCCTCTAGACAGAAGGGCTGAATTTCAGGTGCATCAACAAGCTCCTCCTCCTCCTCCTGTGCATTGGTGAGGGTGGGGCTGTGCACACACAAATATAGACACAAATAAAGAATGACACACTTGCATGTGAAGTCAAAGGAGCAACCAGGTGATCTGCAAAGGACCAGTTAGAAGGCAGCCTCTAGCATCTTACCTACAGCTGTGCTGCTTGGTATATGAGGTGGGGACAGAGTCAGAGAGGGCTGGAGGTTTGGGCGTTGGAGAGGGAATGAGTGAAGCCTTGCGTCTAACTGGAGTGGGGAGGGCAGAGGGGCGTCGTGGCTTCATCTGCAGTGACTTGCATGTGATAGCAGAAGGTGTTAGCGGACCAGCAGATGGCTTTTGAGGAAGACTAAAAGAAAAGGAGTTTACAGTATCACTGATCTGTCAGGTAACATTCAGCTCCAACATCTCGATCAAACACTGAAGGAACATAGAACCCAGCAGAGATTTAACAGTGTCAGGAATTATATGTGTACTGCCATCTACCTGTCCATGCCGTTAAGTGACATCAGCCTCTTTGGCTTCAACACCTTTGAGACATCTAAAGACAAAACAAAGACAGTGAGACAGACATGTCAGAGTGTGAAAAACTGAAGCTGAAAATCTTGCTTTGAACTCAAATCAAATTAACAGTTTTCTCAATGCATGTTATTACTGCAAGGCAAACACCTGACAAAATTAAAGAGAAAACCCCATCAATCAGTAAATCCCCTACAAGTAGCACTTGGAAAGGAAGAAGCCCTTTCAAAGCCTGGTTTATAGTCACTACACTGGTTGTTGCAAAAAAACTAACATCACCAAAGCCATGTAACTATTTATACTGCCACTGAGAGCACGCTGATCCATCAGTGTCACCAGTGAAGAAAAAAAGCCCACATTAACAATGGTAGCTCAGCAAAAGCCATCAAAAAGGGAAGGAAAAAAAACAAAAAAACTAAACAAAACAAAAACTGGATTTTTTTTTAACCCCAAGACAGAAGGTCAGTTTCACTCAATTTATGAGTTAGATGTTAGTCCATTATTTGTCATGTCCAAATATCTCAGAGTTAATCATCACTTTCTCACCATTTGCATGGTGAACACCTTTGCCTCCTGTGCTTGGTGTAGGTAGGACCACCGCCTCAGGTTTAGATTTGGCCTTTGGTCCGCTCTGCAGCCGACTTGTGGAGGTGGTGAGGTTGGAGGCAGGTCTTTTGGGGGGCGTGGCTTCAGCGCTCTTGTGAGGAGTGGATTTGGCACCATTGCCACTCTCCGCCTCAGACAGCTTCTTGGCCTGTGTCGATATTGAGCGGCGGCCAGCGGCAGTGGAGGACACCGACTCTGCAGCACTGTAGATGGTGGACCTGCGTGGCCTGCTGAGGCTGTTCACTTTGCGGGGTGCTGGGCCAGTGGAGCTGCTCAGATTCCCGTTAAGAGTAGACTTCACCTTGCCTGAGAGCAGCAACAGATGGTGAAACAGGGTATATATTTAACCATTTAGCTGTACAGTAAATCTTTAAACGATCATCCAAATAAAACCTTCGCACGTACTCATCCAGGACAGAGATCAAATCATTTTCAAGCTACCAACCAGAACCAATCTAAGCTAGTTGGAGAGAACACCTTATTGTGTTTACATTCCAATTTACTCTGACCTAGAGGACTTCCCTCCACAAGCCTATTTATAGCACTCATCCTACTTCAAATGCTGCATTCAGATGTACCCACCACATGTAAACTCAGAGTGCAAGTTGTCTGAAATCAAATGTTAACCTTTTGCAGTCTCTCTGTTTTAGTGTTGTTGCACTGTGTTCTAGTGACTACAATATCAATTCAGGGGATTTTAGAGTAATTCATGCTTCCATCTGATAAAAAGCTTTACGGAGATATTCTTTCCAGCAGGACCTACATACAGTGCCAAAACCACCAACAGATGGAGCCTGAACTTCCTTGCGACAATACCTCAGACTGTCTATGAGATATTTAAGAGGATGAGAAACAGTCAGCCCAAAAATTCAGACAAGCTTAAAGCTGCTACAATAAAAAAAAAACCTGGGCTTCACCAAAGCCTCCACATCACAGACTGATTCAAAATCTTTTTTCCCCAATTAAGTTTATTATTATTATTATTATTATTATTAT